TGGGAGGAAGAGTCCAGGGCAAATATTCAAGAATGCCAACTACGAATGTATTGTAGTAAACTACTGAAGTATTGAGAATTACAAGAATTTTCAGTGTAAATTCTAGTGTCATTGCAAGAATAGAATACAAGACCAAAAGCCATGTGTTCTCTCATTACCTGTCTTTGGACAACACTCCCTTGTCTGCAAACAACCCAGGGAGGTCAGCAAGTAAACAATTCACTGTTTTACTTGTGCGACAGAAAGCTGTCACACAATCCAAAAAGGTAGTTATTTATCTCATCATTCTTGGCACTGCTGCATATACCAACTACTAAATAAATGTGATCAAATGTGAATGTGTCTAATGGGCTTTTTAGCCTTTGTTCTGGCGCAGTTAGTTGTATAAGGATGTGTTTTGTAGTTCTGCAAAGCTGTGTTTCATGCTATCAATACTGAAAAGAATATATTCCTAAATTTCTAGCTTCTGTCAAAACTCTTTAGAAATTGTTAATGGATTTATCTGATTCCATAGCGACAGAATGAACTGTACACAATGCCTGACAGAGAAAGAATTTGTATTTAGTGAATGTTGAAAGACCTAGATTTTGCTGTCCCATTGGCCAAGACACCTCGAACTTTCCCTATTTGTGAAATGAGGATTTGGGTAAACGGTCTCTAGGGATCTTCTTGCTTCACAATTCAGTTCAAGCTTTGTGGTGCAGCGCTTGCCTATCATGCAGGGGGCCCTGGGGCTATAAACCAAAAATCAAAACAAAACAAAATCTGTCTTCTTAGGTCACCTTTGGGTGGGACAATTAACTCCTTACATAACATGAAAATAACAAAAAATTTGCAGCCAAATATTTCTAAGTTTCAAAGTTTTTTTATTAGTTTCAGGAATCTGGTAAGTCTAAGCTCATTCTACCCATTAAGACCCACCATGGTTTCACAGCTTCAATAAGCCCTTCACAGTCTTAACTTTCAGACTGAAAGGCTACTTCCATAAATGGCCTGTTCTGCTCTTCATCACTTCTGATACTGCTTTCTTTTATTTTTTCATATTAAGTGCAATGAGCAAACTTACCTTATGCAGGTAAGGAATGAAGTTTTATGTTTTGTTTTTTATAATGGTTTATAAGATTCTTGGCTTAATTTCCAAACCCTTCCTTAATAATATTTTGTAGATACTTTTGATGGACTGGTAGCCTAAAAGGTCTTTTTCTGAATGTAGATAGAGCATGAGACTATCATGCTCTTAGCTTTGATTGGTTGCCCCCAGAATATAATCTCAGAATTTCCTGTCCATCGTGTGTAGGTCACTTCTGTCTATTCACAAAACTGTGACGACTTACTTGGAATGGTGTCGCACCTGTAATCCCAGCATTCAAGAGGCTGAGGCAAAAGGATCACCTAAATTGGAGGCCTGTCTGAGCTACATAGTGAGTTCAAGACAAGCCTCAACTACATAGCAAGACCCTGTCTCAAAAGCACAACTAGTTTACCCTGTTCAGCTGCACTGCATTCCTAAGTAAGTATGTCATCCTTCGTGTCTAGGTTTACCATGCCTTTTAATATGACAAGCCCTAGAATAGATCACTGGGGAGCCTACATCTCCCATTTCTTTATTTTCAGTTTAAGGAGTTTTGGACTCAGCACCTACCTGAATGAATTCGAATTCCCAATTTTGGAAGTTACACAAACCATGGCACAGCTACATGATCTATGCACTAGCCTATGCATTCATGGTGATTTTCTTCTGTGTTCTTTGTGCTTTGGCATTTGGGGTCCCATGACCAAAAAGAGAATGCCCCTAGCAGCGTTAGCTAATTCCTAGAAGTAGTAAGTGGCTTTCTTTGCACTTCCTGCAAACCAGTCAACCCAGCCCCTCAGCTCCTGTATTAGGCTCTTATACTTCTGGCCAGTATTCTCCTATTCTGATCACCTTAGTACGATGTACCAGAAAACTACGGCCAGCTCCTGCTTCAGCACTCAGTAACATTATTTAGATTATCCAATCCTAGTCTTCTTAGTCTGCCTTGCCAATAGAAACCACAATAAAAATCTGTGCCTATGCTTTGGCTGGTTCTGCCTTCTGTCCAAACCTGGTGCATCTGTGTGGCCTGCATGATGTGCATTGGATCTGGTTGTTTCCTGCAGTGCTGGGAATCAAACCAAGGGCCTCACGCATGCTATGCAAACAATCTGTCACTGAGTTATACTCCCTAACCTTGCATTGTTTTTCTAGAATAACTAATATTTTACAATCCCTCTTGCGACTGTAATAGACTACTTCCCCCAATGGTGTCATTTCCTGATTTGTGGTCCTCACCATATGTAAGCTTGAATATGTCCCCCAATGTTCGGGTGTTAGTTTTGATCCCCTGTGTGGGGTGATGGGAGGTGGAGCCTAACAAGAAGTTCTGGAGTTACGAGGGTACTGCCCTCATAAGTGGACAAATGCTTTCATTGGGAGTGGATTCACCCCCTCTTGATCTCAGCCCTTCTGCTATGTGATGATGCAGAAATTCCTTGCCAGATGCTAACACTTTAATCTTGAATGTCCCATCTTCCAGACAGGTGAAAAAGATTTCTACTTGTCACAAATTATATAGTCTGCAGTATTTTGTTACAGATGGACTAACATGACATGCCTGAATGATAACACAACCTGTATTTTAAAAACATTCAGTTAGAACTACTCCAGGGGCCAAATGTTTATTACTTTGTAAGGGAAAAATTTCAGCAATGGACTAGGGAGCAAAGTTTTTTTTCCTATCATAAGCTGAAACCTGTTACTCTGCACCCCTCAATAATTGGTGCTATTTCTGCATCCAGGGCAACAGAGAATAAATCTTTTTCCACTAAGCAGTGAACCATGAGATACCTGGACATATTTACAATTGTTTTTGTTGAAATACCTTACGGAAATCTCATGAATCTATGGACCTCTTGGGGCTTTATTTCTATTCCCCTTCCTATGATTAGCATTTCGCAAATTATTCTAGCTTCAGTGGCCAGTGGATTGAGTATTTAACTAACATTTCTAGTTTTCTTAAGGGTCATTCACATTCATAGGTTAATAAGCAGGCAAAAAAAAAAAAATCAGCACTTGCTGCCCAGCCTGGGCAACTTAGTGACTGTTGGAAAAATAAAAAATAAGAAGTTGAAATGTAGCTCAACATCAGCCCCGGGCTCAATCCCCAGTCCTGAAAAAATTTAGTGGCCTAAATTTATAGAGTGCAGCATCTACGAGAAGCGGTCTGCTCCACGGGCCTCACTGGCACTGACTCCCTCCACCCGGAACCTGGGGGCACAGCTGCCTGGTACACCGTTAGCGGTTTGAATCCTTCTCAGTGAATCACTGTGAAACACACTGCGCCCTGTACCTACCTGAGTTGGTATTCTGCAGCCGTTTAGCTTTATAGTTATGGATGTAAATTTCATCACTATCCAGCATATAACCTTTTTTCCAGTTTGTCTATTTGTTAAAATTATTTTTAAAGCAGGCATGGTGGCACATGCCTGTAATTCCATCATTCTGGGAGGTAAAGGCCAGGAAGATCATAAGTTAAAGCCCGGCCTGGGCAACTTAGTGACTTAAGAAGAAACTGTCTGAAAATAAAAAAGTTCATGTAGCTCAACAACAGCCCCGGGCTCAATCCCCAGTCCTGAAAAACACAAAACATAAACAAAACACTACTAGCTTCCTATAATCTTATTCCCAAAATATATTTTGGTATATGTTAGATTTTTTTACTACGCATGAAGCTCCAGATTTTAAAAAATGAATCAGACTATACACAGAGATGTTTAACATCTTGTATTTTTCACTCATCAACATGTTTTAGAGTCATTCTAATTATCAAAGTTCTTTGAGGAAAGGTGATCTTTAAGTTTTTATGATACACAACACATAACAATTTGGTTCTCGAATGATTACATTGTAGTGATTCCTATGTAATTACAGATTACACATTTCAGCCAATAAGGCAACAATTTTGTCTTAAAATTTCTGTATTACTTTGGATGACATTTCTAGCTTCTTATAATTATATCTAACATTATTCTGTATACTATTTACTTTAGTAATTTTGGTCCCAGTTGTTTTAAAAGAGCAAGTTGGAAGGGACTCTTAGATAAATGAAAGGAAAACAGTTAATTGATTTTATTATCTCCTCACTCATTTACCTGAAAAGCCCAGTCAGCTCCCAACAGGACTCCCTGTCAGGCTGCATAACTAATGCAAACAAATGTCAGCAGTGGTTGGCCATATTCCATTCATGAGTACCATGCTTGGGTATATCTGTGTACAAGAAAATTCCAGTCAGATTATAGGTCCTCCATCTCACCACCATATTTAGTGTTTTTGTATTATGTAAGTTATTGATTTAATATCATTTGCTACTTTCAAGATTTCACATTACTAGCTATGTTTCTCATGTTTCTAGACTTACATAAGCAGCAAAGAGAGGTGAACAAAATGTCATGCATTTGTTGTTTTTGATATAGTAAAATTCAAATTATCATTTTATATCTTTTATAAATTAATAGTTTTTAATCCAAGTGGAAAACATTCCAATCTTATCTAATGTCAAAGGCAATAAAGTCAATTTTTCCCTTTCTGTTTTAAATAAAGTCAATATAAACTGATGATTCATATTTTCATTTTACATATTTAACATTCCATATCAACTGCAATGTTTAAAACACTTAAATACAGAAAACAAAACATTAATTTTCAGTTAAGTGTGTAAAGCTACACTAGGGTAGGCAACTAGACTATTACAATATTCAGAATCAGTGGACAGCCTGGGTGTGGTGGCACACACCTATAATCATAAAACTCTGGCTGGGTGATTCAGGAGGATCTAAAATTCAAGCCCAGTCTAGACGACTTAGTGACTTAGTAAGATTTTGTCTCAAAAGAATGAAGGACTAGAGATACAGTTCAGTGCACAGGCCCTGGGTTCTAAGCCCCAGTACTTTGACCCTTAAAAGAAAAAGCTAGAACAGGAAGATGAGAGTCAGTGGACAATGTTTATTCAGTCAGAAATAAATGGAAGTTGTTTGTGTGTCAAAATACAAGAATGTTTCCCATCCTATCTATTTATAGATAAGTACCATTTGATGTGTAAGTTCTAAGCATACCATACTATTTAAATGCTTCAATTTCTCCCACATTGATAAGCTCTTAAAAGTATTTTTTTTTTTTTAAGTTTGGATCTACAGAAAAAATGAAAAGATTCTCACTATGTCCTCTTCCAGTTTCTTGTTATTAACATCCTACACTGGTATACTATACTTGTTACAGTGAGTGAACACAAGCATCGGTACATTACTAACTGAAGTTCACGGTTTGTCCAGGCTTTAGTTTTTACCTAATGAGCTCTTGCTCTAGCTGGATTCCATCCAGGACACCATATCACACTGACCCTTCACACCCCTGTAAGCTCCCTGCCTGGGGTGTGCAGTTTCTCCGACTTTCCTTGTTTTTGATGATTCTGGCAGTTTTGAAGCACACCATCAAGCATTATGTAGGATGTTTCCCCTTATGGAATCTGTATGACGTTTACCTCATGATCAGACTAAAGTTCCAGTTCCAGCACTTTGGGAGGTTGAAGCAGTAGGATAATAAATTTAAGCCAAGCCTACAAAATTTAGTGACATGGTGAGACTGTCTCAAAATTTAAAGTACAAAAGAACTGGGGATGTAGCACACGGTGAAGGTCCTGCGTTTAACACCCAGGACTGCAAAAGAAACAAGTCGGCTTTTAAAAGCATAACTAAACTGGGGATGCAGCTAAGTGGTAAAAGTCCTGCCTAGTATGTATGTGTGTCTCTGGGTTTAAACCCCAGGGGTGGTGGTGAAGTCACAGGTGGGAGGTAAAAGAAGTTAAAAATGAGCGTGCTGTGGCAGAGCAGGCCTGTAATCCTAGCACTTGGGAGGCTGAGGATTGCTGCAAGTTCAAGACCAGCCTGGCTTCAAAGTGGGTTCAAGGGCAGCCTGAATTGCACGGTGAGAGTTTGACTAAAAAAGAAAAAAAATTTAAAAATGAGCAATTCCCTCAAACAAGCAGCATTAGTCTATATTATAAACATGCACTAAACAAAACAAAGAGGTAGATAACATCAAATCACTTTAATATACTTGCTCAAGAAAGTATGTTCTTTATGAATTAAAATTACTATGACATAAAGTCAGGTTTAAAAAATAAGTAACACTTAACTAGTTCAATTCCACATATCTTTACAGATAAAATGTGGTATTTTTTTTACATGTAAAGTAAACCTGTTACTCAAGGATATTTTCAAAACACATTGTCACATTTTATCTACCAAATAATAATTACTGTGCAAGATTTTTCTAGCTTATGACTAAAAATACTTAGAGCCTTAGAAAATTTTTATCAGGCAATCTTTCTGCAAGAATCCTCTCCTGAGCTGTAGTCTCAAACTGCAGTATGCAGCAGGTCTGCCTGAGTGCTCAAGCAGACTCCTGGTGCCAACCCCAGTAGTTCCTGATTTGGGGATCTGGGTTGGGGCGTGAGGCATAGCATGAAAATCACTGCTTCAGGGACAAGGAAACTGCATTTATTCGGTGTATATGATAATCAAGATGTTTTACACACATAACTTATTACTAGCTACAGAATCTTAACAAGTCAATATAATTACTCTTTTGTAAGTGGAGAAACCTGGAGCTTGGAGGCACCGAGGAGCTCAACTGATGGTGCTAGACAGCTGAACGATAATTCAGATCTTCATCCATTTCTAATGCCTGTGTTTTTTCCAGTACAATCTATTGTACTGCTTCTTGTGGATAAAAGGAATGAAACATATGCATTCTGGGATGCTTATTTGAAAAGAGAATGAATATATCTCAACAGGTGATTTGGTCACTTCCGTAGGGGGTTAACTAAGGTCAATGACTCACTGAAAGCTATGTCACAGAGGACTCACTAATACAGTATTTAAACCTGTAAAATAATCAAGGGTGAAATGAATTTACTGCATACTAACAAAACAGGAAGAATGCATTTAATATATAGCACTGAATACTCTTTAATTGCTATTGTTATTCCTTGTAGAAAACACAGATTTAAATAAAAGTTCTTGAAAGAATAGTCTCATTTAAATGTAAAGCATCATAGTATATGCCTGCCAGTGTAAACTACACCATTACTTACTCTGGTACTGAAATTACACAGCATGATGGTCTTCAACAAAATGTTCTAATCATTACTGTTTATCTCTTTCACAAACCAAATCAAAAGCAATGATATGACACAACAAAATAAGCAATTTAAGGGTTGATAAAAATGGTACATTAACATGATAAACAGATCACCAAAAATGAAGTTGCCAACTGTTACAGTGTATATAAAAGAGAACAAAGACACCCAATTACTGGGCTATGCACTTAAAATAATAATGAGTTCTCAACTTCAGAATATGACCAAAAACTACCCAACTCTACATTTCTATTCATACAAATATTTTATATAAGAAAGTCCCTTTTAAATATTTATATACATATTATTATGTAACACTGATAAACCCATAGTTCCATTTATTTAAATAAGAATTAAATAAATTGCTCAAAATGCTGATTTTTATATCACAAAGCATAAGTAATTTAAATCAAAACTTTTAGATGTATAGTGAATACATTGGTTCCTTAGACAACATTAACAAGCACATTTTTAAGAATATATTTTCATCTCTAGATCAGGTAAAGCTTTATTAAATGGTAAACACTTTTTGACAGTGCAGAAATAGAATATTCAAAAACAAACACATTCAAAAGATCTGCTGTTCAAATAGTATTTTTTCAAAACCAGGTGGAGGAGTATGATAAAATTCACTGAACTGGCAATCCAAAATTGCACTGTCGTCAACTAGAGGATAGAAAAAGAAAGAAAGCAAATTAGAAGCAAACATCCTAATCTGAATGAATACATAATTTTAAAGTTAACTGTTTTCAGACTATGGATAAGTGCACGTAAGTATGCGTGGTTCATTGGGTTTCATCCCCAGCATGACAAAACTTTAACAAAATATAATACTGTTTTCTTAAAATCCTAAGATTAATAGGCAAAAAGAATAACTCTATTTGCTGTCTGGGTTATAAAATGTTTTAGGTAAAAATAGCTACCACACAGAACAAAATTTAACAAAACACTGCAAAGATATTAATCAAAACATTATTAATTATTATTCTAAGCTAGGTTCAATGATGCACACCTGTATTCCCAGCTCCAAGAGGCTTGAGACAGAAAGATTCTTTGAATCCAGGAGCTTGAGATTAGTCTAGATAGTGTAGCAAGACTCAGTCTCTTAAGTATAAAAGTAATAATATTATCTCTAGATGGTAGAAATACAAGTGGGTTTTTTGCTATTTGCCTATCTGTATTTCCTCAATTTTATACAATTAAGATATACTTACACAGTATTTTGCAGAATTTACAGATTCTTGGGAAGTTGCAAACATTCTGCAGGGAGTCCACTGTGTGCTTTATACAGCCTGTCCTGGTGGTAACATTTTACACAACATCCACACCAGGAAAGGATATTCATATGCGACTGTGAACTGGACTACAGGCCCAATTCAACTTCTATGTTTTTACCAGCATTTGCTCAAGAAAAATGAACGTGTATGTTTGTCCCAAAACTTACACACTCTGTAGCTCAGGCTAGCCTCAAACTCTCAGTGATCTTTGTGCCTCAGTCTCCCAAGAGGTGGAATTACAGGTGTGTGTCACCATGCCCGGCTTAGTCATCACTTTTTAATAACACTTCATCTATTTTTCTCTTCATAGGTTGAGTTTAAGAATAGACTGAATAAATGAGTGGATTGTTCTAGGATTAGGAATGGGATGGAGGATAAAGGGTAAGGAATTTAGGTTTTGTTTCTATTTTAGTACAGGCTACTAAAGTGTTTGGTGTAACTGTATTGATTTATCAAATTCAATTTATGCAAAAATATAATTCATCACACATAATTTACTATCTATAAATCTACTCCACTAAAAATGATGCTAAATAAAAGAAGCACTTTATTTATTTTTTTCTTTGGTACCAGGGATCGAACTCGTGACCTTATGCTTGCCAGGCAGGCGCTTATGCCACTGTGCTAAACCCCTGGCCCTAAAATAAGCACTTGAGAATAATTTTATTTTGCATGTATATTTATTAGTATGTGTGGAACACTGCATAACTCAACCATTCTACTGATAGTTATTTCATTTCTCAGGCTAAACTATTTAGTATATCAAGCTACATTTTCATTTATGTAAGTAAGCAAAGGAATTCCTTTTAGGCTTACGTACTATGGAACAACACTAACCAAACAATTTAAAACACACTTTTACATGTAAAGACACAAAAGGTAATATAATTGAAAGATAATTTTCTTTCAAATCCATTTTACTTCAAGGATGGAAGAAGAGGAGGAAGAGGAAGAAGGAGGAGGAAAAGTACAATAAAATGTGCAAACATGTCAATCGGGGTAATTTCTGAGCCAGGGGTGGTGGCACACACCTGTAACTGCAGGTACTCCAGAGACTGAAGCAAAAGGATTGCTAGCTCAAGGCCTGCCTGGGCAAGTCGGTGAAGCCCTAACTCCAAAGTTTAAAAAAGGGCTGGGAATATAGTTCAGTAGTAGAATATTGTGAATCTCTGGGTTCAACTCCCAGTAGAGACAAAAAATAATTTTCAAAGTAATTTTAGGAGAAAAGACTAATGAAAACCTTAACAGAAAAAGTAAATCACAGGGTCAGGGCTTTGGCTCAGCAGCGTAAGTGCCTGCTTGGCAAACTCGAAGTCGGGAGTTCAATCCCTGGCACCAAAAAACCCCAGAGGTTAAAAAAAAAAAGGAAATCACCAGCCTTCATTATTATCATACTATTAAACATGTATATTTGTTATTGCGTACTTTTCTGACATCCCAGTCTGTTATTGCTACACTTCTGTCTTTATTGTAAGTTACCATGAAAGTTGTTAGTCTTTACTACGACCCAAATACAAGACCCAAGGTAATTAAGTAAGAAAATATTTTAAACTGACTAAAACCATCAGCAGAAAAATCATACACTTACTGATTTAAACTTGAGGGCATAAAAAGAATGGAGTGATGAAAGTATTGTGACTTTTTTTCCCAAGAGATGCACAGAGCTGGCGTGGTGGCAAACGCCTGTACTGCCGGCTACTTGGGCGGCTGCAGGAGATGGATTACAAATGCGAGCCCAGCCAGGGCAGAAGGGCTAGAGGCAGTGCAGCACCACTGAGTCCTGCCCCACTACCTCAAAAAACAAGAGCAAACGAGAAACAAAAACGGAAGGCACACTGTTCTTTTTAGAGGTAAACAAAAAATATTTATGAACAAAATGACAGAACATCTGGCATTTGCCTTCAAAAATATAAAGAGGGGAGGCAAAGAACAGAAGTGTGGGTAGACGAAATCTAAATAGCACAAGATAATTGTTTCAAGCTGGGCAGTGAGTGTACGGGGTTCATTACAGCATTCTCTTATGTACCTGTTTGAAATTTTCCCGCTTGCTGGAGGGACACACCTTTATCGAAATGATAGCACTTACGGCTATCAAAAGCAAAACAATCAATACAAAACTGTCCTAAATTACAATTTCTCTCGGAAAAAACATTTAGGCAATTTTATAAAGGCAGTCAATGTTGAATCTACATAAAACTCCTATTCCCAGATCCAAAATACTCTGCATTTCTTGGTCATTTAATCCTTTTTAATATTTGGCAAAAAAAGCCTTGTAAAATCAGTAAAAATCTTTACTGAACGTAAGAATACATGATGAATAGGAGAATATAGCTATTGCCTATTTTTAAGCAGTCACTGTTTAGCAAGTTTCTTAACATAGGAAATAAATAGTGGAGCCTTGGTTTAGGAACTTAATTCTTTGCATGATTCTGGTTGCAAACTACATCGAACACAAACCAAATCAAACGTAATAGGTGTGATGTTGACGTTATGGGGAAATTTAATTCAGTTTTCGTCCAGTTTGGTTTGCACTTAGAATCACGGAAAGAAGTTTGTGAACCGAGGTACCACTGTATTAACTTTTAACTCTGCAAAAAGGGAACTGAATATACTGCTGAGTACCTTCCATACACATAAAAAGGTCCTAGTACTAACTTGTCCAGACTTAGGAAAGACTTACACAATTAATATAAATGTCTAAAGCTAACATATATCTAATAGTATATAAGAAATATTTTAGCTTACCATAAACAACTGGGTATACTGTCCCCCGTATGCCTGATGCTGGACAATGCATGCTTTTTCCATTCAAATATACATTTAATTCTACATGGTCATATGTAATTCCCTATGAAGGAAAGAAAAGATAGAAAGGATAAAAATATAAGTGTTCCATAAATACCTAGGCAGCCAGGGATCAAAACCTTTGCATAAGGTTACAGTAGTTTCATTAAAGGTTTACAGTCTGTTAGAATTCCACTAGAACTGAGCTTACAGATGTCAGAAGTGGCCAAGGGTAGCAGTGAACACCTGTGATGTTAGCACTTTGAGACAGTGAGGCAGCAGAATCTCAAGGTTAAGCCTGGCCTCGGCAACCTACCAATCAGTGAGATTCTGTCTTAAAAAACATGAAAAGGGCTGGAGATATAGCTGAGTGTGAAGGCCCCGTGTTCAATCCCTAGTAATACACACATGCACACACGCACAGAGTAGTGATTATATGGAGGAAAAGGATCAGGAACACCCCCAAAGTCCACAATAGAGATTCTATTTTGAATACAAGGTGATATAAATGCTACATACCATGAACAGAGACACTTAAAACTCATTAAGAAAATACTGCTCTCTATATAGGATTTGACCTTAAGGAGGGAAAGCAGGTTTCACTAATAGGGCTTAATGAATACATGTTACTTTTCTCAAATTGTGAGGAAACGTCTTTGGATACTTATTTTCAAAAAACAAATTATACATTTCTGACTCTCTTTACTCTGGCCTCAAACACGTGAAGTATTTTACTAAGGTAAAACTAATATTTACAATAAAATATGACTGGTAACTAGTGTCAAGTTAAAATATAGAAAAACAACTCCAAAAATATCAAATGATGGGGAAAATATTATTTCACATAGCATTGATAGTAAAAAAAAAAATCACAATTAGTAATAACTGTTATTAAAATGCTGGAAAATGTGACAGGCCCTATTATGAACCAAGTAATAGTTTAAACACTTCATATTTACTAATGTAATCCTTACAAGAAAGGTATCCTCAACCCCATTTTACCAATGAGGTAGCCAGAACACAAAGGTTAAGTAATTTACCTAAAGTTTTACAACTAAAAAGTAACAGAGCTGAGGTCTAAACCAATTCATTTTGGCTTCAGAACACCTGTTCTTAATCTGAGACCTGAAATGTTTCAAATTCTAGAAGTTCTTGAGTGTTGACTTGCCACAAGTAGAAAATTCCACATCAGACCTCTAAACACAAGTATACTAAAACATGTTGTATAGATTATTTTGGGGCTATGTGTAAAAGGTATAAATGAAACTTTGTAAGTGAATTTCATGTTTAGGCTTGGGTCCCATCCCTAAAATCGCTCATGTGTATGCAAATATTCCAATATTCAAAACAATCTGATATCAGGAACACTTCTGGTTCCAAGCATTTCACATAAGGAATACCAACAAGACATCTTTCCTTTAAAGAATTAAGGCTAGATAACAGAGATATTCAATACAAAGTCATCAGAGACCAAGAAATCAATCACCTCAAGGATTTCTGAATTGGATAGCAAAAGCTTTTTAGTGGTATAAAAAGATCTCTTAAGTCATCTAATTTGGGGGAGGGGTGCTGAGGATTAAACCCAAGACCTTTACATCCTCAGGCATTGTTTTTTTGGACAAAGTCTTTCTTACGGTTCACATTGAGATGTCACCTCAGTGCCTCATGAGGTAATAGATTAGGCTTCTGGAGGAGACTTGATCCTAGGCACGTGGTCCCAGATTAATCCACTGATGGGTTTATAGTTAGTGTGATATGGTGGGGGGTGAAGCCTGCTGGGAAGAGGTAGGTCACTGGGGGCATGGCCTGGAAGGGCATATAGCCCTCCTCTTCCCTTGATCCCTTCTCTGTTCCTGCCCTCTGTGCCATGAACTACTTCTCCTCTGTCATGCCACCCTGCCTTGGAACCAGTCAACTATGGACTGAAACTTCTACAAATTGTGAGCCCAAATAAACTTCTCCTTTAACTTGTAGGTATCAGGTATCTCATTCCAATAATGAGAAAGTAAGACAGTTTTACAAAGTTGCTAAGTACTAAATTGCACAGGCTGGGCTCAAACTTGCGGTCTTTCTACATCAACCCAGAGTGCCAAGATTACAGGCACGCTCCTCCAGACCAGTCTAAGGGCTTTATAGTTTGAACTCTTATAGTCAGGTCTATAACCAATGATTCTTTCTTATTTTTATTGTTATTTTTTGCAGCACTGGAGATTGAACCCAGGGTTTCTGCACTGAGCTAAATATGCGGCCCTTTTCCATTTTGTTTTGAAATTTTGAGACAGGGTCCCCTAATTCACTAAATTGCAGGGCTTGGCTGAACTCTCATCCTTCCTACGCAGCCTCCTGGAGCACTGGGATCACAGGTGTGTGCCACCACCGTATCGTCTTAACTCCCTCCCTTTCTAGGTAAGAGAGCATAGGTCCAAAAAACCAATGTAGTAACTGCTAAGAAGAATTCTCTAACTTTTAGCAAAACCAGGGTTAGATTAAATAACACACATAATCACATAAGAAAGAAAGAATGTTCCTCTCTCTGTGTGACTACAGGAAATCGAGTAGCTCAGAAAGTCTGTAATCCAGGCCTCCTTCACCACCCAGTGGCAGCACAATCTACTGCAATTATTGTCTCTCAATTTATTTCATTTTCCAAAGTCACTGTCCACACTTTGGGAACATTTGTCCTCAGTCTGAACTAGGAAGATAAAGTTAATACACACTACCTTATGTTTTACCTTTCTTAACTCTGCGTATAGTTCATGTTTTTAGTTCTTTTATCAAAACGAGGGGCCGGGAATTTAGCTTAGGGCCCTAAGCGCTTGTCTGGCAAGTGCAAGGTTGTGAGTTTGATCCCTGGTACCAAAAAGAAAAAAAAAAGAAAAAAAAATTTAGATCAAAATGAGCATACAAACTCAAGCCTAATTTTACAATGCTGACAGACTAAAAACACGCCTATAATCCCTTTTTTATGTGATTATGTGTGTGTGTTTTTAAATGAAAAGAGACCTCTTCATTTAAAAAAACTAATTGCAGTCATCAGTTAACTTTACTACTATTATGTTTAAATACATACTAAAAGACAATCCATATACTATTTGTCTTCCTCAGTGTTTCTTAACTATTAATTTTTGGGCAATCTACCTGGGACCCCTCCTATCCCTCAGAAGCTATTTCTATTCTCCAATAAACCTTTCCTACTCTAGACCTCCTCTGTCCTCTGGAATTCACTTTTGATGTCACGGGACTACAAACTGGCATATCTGATACCTAGCAGGTTGGGAGTTATGTTTCTGACAGATAAGTGGAAGGAAGTGTAAGAATTTGTTTTCATTTCATGGCACCTCAATTTTTTTTTTTTTTTTTGGTACCAGGGACCAAACACAACTTTGCACTTGCCAAGCAGGTGCTTCCGACACTGAGCTAAATCCCCAGTCCTACCCCTAAATATTTTGACTGGATTCTGGGTTTTAGGTAATCAAAATTTTAGGTAATCAAAAATTGTCATCAATTTTGTCAATTGCTTATGCCTTGAGTTTTCTATTAAAATGATGATCCCAATTACTGATAACCTCTTGGTATATTAAATACTTCTATGATTCCTAAAGATGCAAAGCTGAAAGAACATCTTATCACACTGGTAATTTCCAGGCTGCAGTTGTTTAAGACGATAAACTTCTTAAGCTCAAGCATCTGGCTTTCCCTCACTTGTGTTCCAGCTACACGTGAGGACATATGCGCGCCAACCCACTGTGAGCCAGCCAGCCATTGTGCAGTCCAGACAATGTTGTTTTAACAACTAGAGATCAGGCATAATAATTTGTGTACTAAAGCCGGTATGGTGGTACACATCTGTACTCCCAGCACTCAGGAGACTGAGGCAGGAGGATCACTGCAAGTTTGAGAACAGCCTGTTACAAATTGAGCTCAAGGACAGTCTAAATTCATAGCGAGACCCTGTCTCAAAAAACAAAAAAATAATAATTTATGTACTTATATGTCACTTTGGTAACAGAAAATGATTAAAAGATAACAAATTAGATCAAAGTTTCTTTATGTTATTTAACACAGTGGACCCTTGATTTAGGAACTCAATTCATCCCTGAGGGTGCTAAATTCCAAGTGATCATGCAGATGGAACCAATGACAGATATGCAAAACTCCTTTTACCAAGACCCACCAGACTGACCTCATAAAGTGAGCTCAAAGCTTCTAAACTGCAACATGACTTCTATTCAAGGCCCAAAGTTTAGCTCTCTGGAGAAGGCTCCTGACTGTGGTCTCTCCTACACCAACACTTCTTAGTGCGAAGAAGTTAGATCGAAACTTTGCCTGCTCTTCCCCTAATGGCAGGAAAGGGCACCTCTTCAGAGCAGGGACTATTATAGGTGCTGGCTAAGTTAAATAAAAATTAATATACAGTCAGAAAAGGACTGGGTTGGGTGTGGTAGCACAGGCCTATAATCCTAGCACTCTGGAGGCTAGGGCAGGAAGACTGTAGCAAGTTCAAAACTATCCTGAACTGCATGGTGAGACCTTGTCACTATGAAATAGAAACAAACAAACAAACAAACAAACAGAAAAAGGAACTGGGCTCTCAAGGAAGTCAGTGAAAAGCTCAGATATCAGAATCTGGAGCTGCATCTAAAGAAGGGAAGTCACAGTGGCCCTACTATAAACCTCCCTAACCCTAAGGGAGAAGAGAACCTGTAAGTAGCACCCAGTCCATTAAGTCCAGATGTGCATCAGATACCAGGGTAGGTGACAGAACATCTGGAGCCAGGCCTTCCCACAGCATCCCGTCTTAGAAGTCATACATAAGCCAAGGTTAACAATGTCAGTTGTACACCCTTGCTACAGGCCCTGCTTCCCTACTGGAGTAACACTAGCTAAGCAGCTACATTTGTAATCTTACTGGTTGATTATAGTTTGACTCATGTGGCACCAGATTGTGGCTTTGCTGTATAAATTACCCCTGACAAAGGGCCTTGGCAACTCACTTTCAGGACTCCTCCTCCATCTCAGAAACTACTTCTCAATAAACCTTTCCTTCTCTTACCAATCACTCAATCAATCAAGCATTCTTTTTTTTCCTTTTTATTGGTACCAGGGATCAAACTCACGACTGCCTGCTTGCAAGGCAGGTGCTTATGCCACTGAGCTAAATCCCCAGCCCCTACAATCATGCATTCTTAAATCTGTCAGTTTGTGGTTTTAGTCATCTCAATGAATGACAGGAAGGCAAAAACGACACACAGAAATTCAGTATACCAACAAAAGAAAACGTTACTGATTACTCTAGCTCAGTGGCATAAGTGCCTGCTTGGCAAGCTTGAGGTTGTGAGTTTGATCCCCAGTAACAACAAAAACAAAAAGCTGTCCGAATAAGGATGATGGCTCATGTTATGGACATTTAGCAATGATCTGTAAACACAGAACCAACAATTCTGTGGGAAATCTGGGAAAAGCAGATTTTAAAAATGATTTAAACTGTTCCTCACCTATTCTTTAGTCGATTTAGAGAACATTAACTTATAGCCATTAAAAACTGTTCCTTATTTGTTTTAAGTAGTAGAAAAAAGATCAAGCCATAATTAAAAATTTAATTCCCACAAGGCATGGTGGTACCTCCCTGTAATCCCAGCTACTCAGCAGGGGAATCACAAGTTTGAGGCCATCCATGACAAGGTAGACCCAGTCTCAAAATAAATTTTTTAAAAGGGTAGTGATGTAGTTTAGCATTCCCTGGGTTTAAACCCTAGTACCACCAAAAACACAACAAAAAATACCCCCTTAATTCCTGTACCTTTCTTCCAATCTTTTAAAATACCACACATTGCTTTAATAAAAATCTGGATTTGTCTGATCTGGGTTATTTTATTATTAGAAAACTTGGGGATTTAGCTCAGTGGCATAAGCGACTACCTTGCAAGTGTGTGGTCGTGAGTTCGATCCCCGGTACCAAGAAAAAAGACCCCCAAAAAAAAATTTATTAGAAAACTTCACTTTGATATCAGGTGCAAGAACCCAAGGTTTTGTGTATAAGATCATCCTGGCTAAAGGAGACTCCAGGACTCTGTTGTTAATCAGTAGCTAAATGCCTGGACTCTGTGTATAAGCTTTCTGGGTAACGGATGACAAGAGGTATACGGAAAGACAGAAAAGGATTTCTGTGTTTTATCAATTGGTGGCTTTGGTACTGATTTAAATGTATCCCATCGGAAATAAAAATAGAAAAGTCTTCACTAATACATTACTTTCTTTAAAAAACGTTTTCTACAATCAAGCCTTTCAATTTTGAATCCGTTCCTGTGGAACATTCTGAAGTGAAGGAAGTTCAACTAGATTCAGTTTAATAAAGACCAACACTTGGGAAAAAATGGTGCTCTAACAGATATGCGTAATAAATGAAGAAATGTGAAAATTTTCCCTCAGAGATCTCCAGCCACAAAAATATCTAACATTTTATAGTATGAAGTCAGCAGATTTAAAAATCGTGGGCCAAGGTTTTTCTGATGGCAAAGCAGGGAATACTGCTCAGCAGCTTACTTGTCACCAATTCTCCGAGGGCAAGGAAACCGGGGCTCATCTCGACGCCCTGGGCTGTAGCGGCTCTACCTGAGTGGCTGCACCAACTGCACTCTCTGGGAACTGTACCACCCCACGAGATTTAATCGCAGGGCTCTGGAATCCAAATTATAAACTCTGAACCAAAGCACATCTACTTGAAAGCTGCTCAGGTTTCAATTATTTGCAGCAGACATGAACTCCACCAAGAGACTCACCACCACGTCTCCCTCCTGTGGAAGGCTGTTGGCTGGTAACCTATTTTTCTCCTCATTGTTGTGGTACAGGGCTCCATCATTTCTCATCACAAGACTATGCATGTCTCGGCCAAGGGGAATCTGGTTCAGGTTCACCTTCTGAGTCGCAACACCGACACCCCAGATTCCTGAAAATACAATAGTTTACATACCCTCGAATCTTAAGGATGCATATAGAAAGGAGTTACTGTGAAGAGCACAAGTGTGTTTAAAGGAAGTGTCATATCAGTAGATTACTGTTATTTTTTAAACTCTTAGAATTTGTGAAGCGTACTGTTTTCTATAAACGAAGCACAACCTAGAAGATACCAGAGTGGGTTCTGGAGTCGTACTGCTGATGTTTAAATCCTGATTTAGCTGTATTATCCTAGAAGAATCATTTCTCTCAGTGTTCTCATCTGTGAACTGCAGTAGGGTCTAACAGTACTTACCTCAAAGGGTAAGAAACAATATAATATAATCCAGTAAACCATTTGGAATAGTATTTTTTGAATTGGATAAATAAAGCACACAAGTATTCAATAATGTTAGCTATTATCATTATTTTCTTCTCTTTTTTGTACAGGGTCTTGCTATGTAATTCAAGCTGGCCTTGAATTCACAGCAATTCTCCTGCCTCAGACTACTGACTGCTGGGAAAATAGGTGTACCACCATGCTCAACTATTTATTATTATTTTCTGAAAACATTTTTAAAAAATGCTATACAGCTGGTTAGAGTGCTTGCTTGGTATAAGAAAGGCCCTGGTTGGCTCTGTAGCACCGGGTGGAGGAGGGGTGGGGGATTATACTGCACGTTGTATTTATGTGGCCTGGAGTTCTTCAAAGGTGTACCTCAAAGAAGGGGGATACTACTGTGTACAGCTAATATACGCCATGGACAAGATCACTAAGAGAAGAAAATTAATGATACATAAAATCATCTTTAAGTTATTGAGCTAAAAAGCTTGTGGTTTAAGTCAGGCTGGGGATATAGCTTAGGAGTAGAGTGCATGTGTACTCATCTGGTCTCAAGTGTAACCAACGTAACAAAAAAATCAAAACTAATTTTGGTCTAAGCTGACTTTTGAAGTGAACAACTTTTTTCTCAGTTGTTGACAAATTCAGAAAAAATTCTAGACACAGACAAAGGTTTGAAGACCATGTTGCTCGATACATAAATTTTTCTGGATTAACTGAAATTGTCAGAAAGTTACCGGTCTGACTCAGCTGTTCTTCTGGGAAGAATTAAAACATCAAACGACAGTGATACATGTGCACCCATGTTTATCGCTGCGCAATTGTTATAGCCAGCTCTTGGAAACAACCCAAATGCCCATCAACTGAGGAATGGATAAAAAAGATGTGTATTTTTATACAATGGATTAGTACAGCTATAAAGAAGGATAACCTAGAGGTAAATGGATGCAACTTGAAACTATATTCATAAGTGAAATAAGACACACAAGTGTAAACATCATATTATCTCCTTAGTGTAAGAAACTGAATGAGTAAATACAATCCACAATGTACAATGGATACAGTGAAAGGGAAAGAAACTGCTCATAGGGAAATCATACTGTTTGATCAACTATGCATGCGGGCATCTGCTAACCTAAGCAATTATTTTGAAGATAACAATATGTAATATAACAACCATTGTTAAATTCCTATCACCTTATTTTGAAATCCTATTATCACTATAGTTTTGTTATTGTTGTGAAAGAGTTTTGGCCAGACAGGACACTGTAGTCGGTGGAGCCTTAGAGGCGGAACCAAGGAGCTCCTGTCTCCCCCACCCCTAGGAATTTACCTGTGACTCCATCTTCCCGCCCCTAGGAATTTACCTATGGCGCCCACAAAGACCAGTGGGCTACCCGTGCATCCCTAATGCCCCCTTAGGTTCCACCCCAAGCCGAGGCTACTTATATACCCCCCATACCACGTGTCCACCAGAGAGAAAGCCGCACTCCAGAGGTCGGGGGTGGGGGGGGGTGTGGGGGTGGGGGGTGGGGGGTGTGGGGTGCGGGGGTGGGGGGTGCGTGTGTTTTGGTTTTCTCTCTTCGGGTTCTCAGAATAAAGGCTTCTTGTTTTATACTTCTCATCTTTTGGATATAATCTTATCAGTTGTACTTTTGCTTTTGTTGTAGTTTTGTTTGTTTGCTTTTGGATTTTTCTGGTTTTTTCCCTTAACATTAAAAAAAAAAAAAAAGTTACATGTCTGGAATTCACTGTGTTGGCTTCCACAACTATGAGTGATAGGAGATAAAACTATTAATTCCACAGGAAAACATCTGCAGAATGAGCTTATCAACTCCTTCCTCTTAAAAAATTGTGCCCAACTGCCTCAAGATTTCATTATAGGATCAAGGATGCAGATTCCAAAAAAACTGGTATTCTGGTGGTACCACTGGGGATAGAATCCCTTAGGGAAAACCTGCACAGAAACTTTTATTGGCTTTATGGCCCAAAAAACTATTTGCATCTCTTGAGAAACAAATGTGTTATATTTTACATTATAGAGACCAGAGACATTTTGCAGCAATCAGCAAACTTATAATGAGACAAAGGACAGATGCAGTTGCATTTCATTCAATGGAGACAATCAGTATTACAACTAATACAGGGCTGCCAGCACAGTGGCACACACACTTATAATCCCAGCATTTGGGAGGCTGAGGCAGGAAGATTGCACCAAGTTTGGGTTACATAATGAGTTCAAGATCATCCTGAGTTAGAGAGTAAGACCTTGGCTCCAAAATCCCCAAAAATACAAAACAAATACAAGGCTGAGGATGGCTAAGTAATAGCGTGCTTCCCTGGCATGGGTAAGGCTCTGGGTTCAACCCTCAGCACCTGAGCAAAACAAAAACACAAAAAAACTCAACACGGAAAGATATTTTATACTATTCAAGGAGTTGATTAGCTGTAGGACTGTAGAATTCACTACTCCACTCTAGCTTTCTTATTCTGCACCTCGATCACTCATGCAGTATTTCACCAGAGGTTTCTTTATAACAAAGATCCCTCCTCCTCCAAAATTTCTCTGTATATAATACTGCCACAATTTAACCCAATAATCTCAGAAAATTACTATTCAATTCAACAAACACCATACATTTTTAAGAGAAGCATAGATTTTAGGTTTCTGGACTGGGAATACAGCTCAGTGGCACAGCGCCTCCCTGGCAAGCACAAGGTCTTGAGTTTGATTCCCAGAACCAAAGAAAGAAAGAAAGAAAGAAAGATATTAGACTTCTTCCAGATTCTAAATTTAATGACTGCTTCAGAAGACACTGAGTCAGAGCCCCTTAACAGGAATTAAAAGACTAAGCAAGATGGTGTACTGTAATCTCAGTTGCTTAGAAGGCAGAGGCAGAAAGATCACAAGCTTAGGGTTACTCTGTGTAATTTAGTGAGACCTTGTCTCAAGATAAAATATTTAACGAGAAAGTAGGAGTATAGCTCAGTGTTAAAGTGCCCCTGGTAAAATTCCCAATACCCACTCCTCGACATACAAAGATAGTTAAGAAAAACTCAGAATCAAAAGATTAATTTATCCTAAAATAAAACTGCAACTGTCAACATACTTCATACGCTCAAATAAATAAAATGGTGACTCTAGAACTTTAATAATGCTTGGTACCTTACATTTATTCAGCATATCCTGTTTTTAAAACAATTTCATATATAGTTCCTGTGAGGCAGAAAAGGCAGCTCCTAGGCTGGGCATAGTGACACATGTTTGTGATCCCAGCATTTGGGAGGCTGAGGCAGGAGGATCACTGTGAGTTCAAGGCCAGCCTGGGCTATGAACTAAGTTCAAGGCCAGCCTGAACTGCATAGTAAAACCCTGTCTCAAAAAGACAAAAAAAAAAAAAAAAAAAAAGGCAGCTCCTATAACTAAACTTAGGTTAACAAAATTAATTTAACCCAGATCACACAAGACACAGATCTTCTAAGTGACAGTTAGGGACTTTTGTTTTTTTAAACTGCCTTCTGAATCTTTTCTCACATATTTAAAATTACTTAATATTTAGATTAGAACATTTAAGAGTAAAGCACCTTTATACTAACCTGTGGATTGGATTTTGAATTCGAAATAGCTTTTGTTTTGATGTAAAGGTGCACTGGCTAAACAACCTCCTGTCCCACATATTCTTCTTCCATTTTTCACAATGACAACATCTGTTCCTAAAAAAAAAAACAGATACTATGTAAATTTTGTATTTTTATACCTAACAATTAGCATAAATTTATTCACTAATAACTCAGTCTGCAAAAAAAGGGATGATATAAGTGCATTGAAATATAGCAATATTGTTACTTACTTCAAATATTTAATTCACCATTTTCTGAGAAGACATTTACATATAAAATTCAATTGTAGCTTGAGTCTTGTGTCATTAAGCAGTTACAAATACAGTAACAACCCTTATACTGAATATTTAAAACACTTGTAAGGTAGAAATAAAGAGAATAGTTTCTTTGATTTTTTGTCAATAAACAAATACAAGTATTTCAGATATCTCTTGACTTAGAGAAAAACATAAATACTTAAAAGAAGCTTTAGTAAATTGATATAATTTTCAGTTCTATCCAGATCAATTAAAACTATTAATTAAAAGTCAGCTGAATGTCTACTACAAGGCAATGCGTCAATGCAGTTAGGTATGAACTGAAGAGCACATGAATACTGGAAAGAACAGACACCTGTGATGAAACAGTTGATGCTGAAAAACTGCATATTTTAGGGTCTTAAAATGTTTATCCAGATAGCTATGTCACATGACAGGGTTATAAACAAGGTTTTCACATCATTAAATGTACTTCATTCTTCATGAAAAATTTCAATTTCAGCTCAACAATTATAGATGAGAGAAAGAAAACGCTATCTCTTGATACATATGTGACCCCTACTACTCAATTTATTTCTGAATCATGGTTTTGGAAAGCTGTGCATACTCAAGAACATTAGGAGACTTAACATAATTGTAATACGTAAGATACATCCTTTAACAAAAAAGCGTGTGCCTCCTAAGGCCCGTGGCTGACAGTACCACCTCACTAGCAAAAAGTACAAGTGAAACAAACCTGAGTATTAGAATTGAGATGTCTCTGGAGGTGGGGGGGGGGTTTAAATAGAACTAGAAAACAGTAATAAAAAGGTTTAATTCATACTTTAAAAATTACCTGGGACACATACACATGAGAAATGCAAAAAATCTCAGAATCTACCACAATTCTAAACTGGTTGCTTAAGAACTTTTAAGGTACAACTTCGTACTATTGCACGATTATTAAAGTTATTAGCATCTATTTTTTTCCTAACAAAAGTATTAATTTTGAGAGAGAACCTCAAAAATAATTTGCATCTGGCTACCCCACGTCTCTACTCGGCACCTTCCTGCCAACAAAAACTCTGCAGTATTTGGCATCCAATCTAGTAAATAGCAATGCAGAAATGAGAGGATAAATAAGCTGTACAAGCACTTTGTAGTGGACATGAAGCATCTGCTCTCCCTTCCCTTCTGGAGACGCACAGTTCCAAGAAAGCTGACTCAGTGTCTGGCTTCAGGGGTACAGCATTTGACCTAGATTAAGTCAGTACATTCATATCTCTTGGCCACAGTGATTGAACCAAGAATGGTTACATGACCTTACAAATAACAATCAGAAAAAGTGTCAGGACTTTGGCAAAAAACCAAAACAAATAAACAAAAAACCCTGGCATAAATATGGTCTCACGCTTGCTGGACTTGAATGAGGAAGCCTATAGTCCAAGGAGTTGCCAGCTAGCTTGCAGGAATAAACAGCCAAAGACAGAGGAAATAAATGGAAAGAGCCTGAATTCTTAGCAATACCAAATCTTTCCTGAAGCCAGTGCTGCCTTTTTAATTTTCAGTTACATGAACCAACAAATTCTTTCATTGTTTAAACTATTCTGAGTTGCAGTTTTCACTAATTGCAAATGAAAGCACCCTTAGTAAAACACATTTCCAAAGACTATGCAAGTAAATGGTATTTTTTTTCTCTTAACTGGCCTTGGTCTATAGTCTTCCACATATACACTAACACTAACACCTAACAACTAGTTTCTGTAACAGATAACATTATCTTGGACTTTCGGAAGCCTCTCAAAACAATATAGTTGTTCTGTGATTTGGAATCACAGAAACAACTGTGAGCACTGTATTCATTCTCTTATTCCAGCATCTTATCTCCAAAGCATACTGTGGGGGTCCTGAGATGTTGTACACAGAAAGACAAATATATTCAGAGGGCATCCTGCAGTACTTGTGAACCACTAGGGAATCACTTTAAACTTACTCCTTTCCTCTTTACCAAGGTCAAAGATGTATTTGGGTCTATGTAATGTGTATAGTTTTATTAATCATCACAAGTCAAAGTATTTCTGGAAAGTCAAGGCAAAGTACAGCCAGAACACCACAGAAACACATCCACAGAGTAAATTTTAAGATGCATTAGAAAGCCAGTAACACATGCACGTAACCAACCCCAGCAATTCGTAGGTTGAGTCTAGCCTGTGCCACATAGTGAGACCCACCCTGTTTAAAAACAACAAAAAGAAATACAATTTCCAAATGAATAACTTCCCTTCAAAGTAGCTACCCTGGAAGGCATGCATTTCTAAAAAGGCAATTTATATAATGTGCCATTAAGATTTTTACAAAAACTATGCCATAGAGAATTCAAAATGGTTTTAAGTAACACATCATCAAAATAAGTGACTATTCTAAAAGAGGTATAATTTTGATATAAATTATATATAGATTATTTTCTTTACCAAAAAAACCAAAACAACAAAAAAAATCCATGAGCTTGTGGTCTCTGATACTCAGGAAGCTGAGGCAGAAGGGTCACTTGTGCCAAGGAGTTCAAGTTCCTGGGAAGCACATGGAGATTCTGTTTAAAAAATCGTATTTCTTAGTTTACTTATATAACCTTTCACATACCCAAACATTCCTATTGGTTAAATCTGTTTCTCACATACTCAATCTAAAATCAACTCAGGCAAAGTTGTACGTGCCTGTAATCCCAGCAGTGAAGGCTCAGGCAGAAGATTGAAAGTTTGAGTCCCACCTGGACAACTGAGACCTTGTCTCAAAACTACTAAAAAAGGCTGAAGGTATAGCTCACTAGTAGAGTGCTCCTAGGTTCAGTCTCCAGTACCAGAAAAAAAAAGTCACCTCAACTCATGGTGGAAACTCTTCTTATTCAGCAGCACTGTTTTCTTTCATTTTACACAACAAGTTTCTCTGTGATTGAAGAATTTGAAGTTAATGGTAGACAGGTTAAGGAAACTTCGGTAAGGGGAGAAAATGTGGGATATTACTCTACAGCATCCACGGAGTAGCTGCACAGTGCTGGGTGAGTCTGGAGAAAGGCAGACAGTGGAATGAGTACAAATCACCAATTCTTTCTAATGAAGACAGAGGCCAGAGAAAAAGAATGCTTTACAGAGCAGACTACACGGATTGAGAGTCTAGCAGCAAAGACAGAAGAAGACCAAAGGCTGCTCAAAAGCTCCAGGGGACTTAGGAGGCTGCCTTTACCTCACCGCCCTGCACTTAAGACAATGCCTGCCACCAGACTATCCCTTAAATCATAGTTCAATACGTAAGTGGAAATGTTTTCTCAAGGAAAGTACAGGATTTGAAACATCAATTGCCTATAAATGATGATAGATAAGAAATAATTTAAAGATATGTACTAATTTATGCATGTATTGAGATTCTCTACTATATTTAGGGGATCTAAAAATTAAAGGTACCATAAATATCCACATACAAGATGGGAAATAATAATAAACATTTAGTCTATGCTACAGACATACGGAAATGGACAGTTTCCAGAATTATCAAAATATGGGTAAAAGTTTTCCTGTAAAATATTAAGATATTCCTGTATTTCAAGGCACTGTATTTTAAACAATGAGCAATACAAGAAAAAAATCAAAAGTACATAAGTATATTTAGAATAAATCCATCCACTAAAAACACTACTGCTAAATAATTATATTGGGAAAGCTCTCCTTACAGAAACATACTCCAGAAGCATGGAACTACACAAAAAAGTCTTAAAAGGTAAATAATAGGTAATAAGTAAGGGATGAAGAAGGGAGGGATGAAGAAGGTTAGATATGAAGTTATATGGCAATGTGGAACTGGCAGGAAAAAACACTGAGGCGAAGCAGCAAAGTGCTGTTTTATCTTGCAACAGCCCGATCTGTTGGGAAGAGGCCAGTGAGATGAAATTACTGCGCTTCCAACAATGACTAAGGAGGAGCCCAGCAATGGGAGGTTTTCGTCGAAATGGCACGTTCCGACTTGAACTGCGACTTCAGGCTTTTCTGTACTTTCTTCTCTTTTGACGTAGCTGATAAGGGGGGAATTACTTCCAATAAAACAGGCTCCAACCTATACAAGATGGGGCCAAAGAGAAACAGTCGACTGTCAGGACATTAGAACCGAAAGCATTCTGAAACGCAGGGACATCAGACAGAGCTGGAGGGCGCCTAGCCCGTGGAGGCAGCTCGCAGGAGGCGGAGGGCACCGCACGCCCTCCTGACGCCAGCCCACCGGGCCAGGGAGGAGCGGTCGGCAGCTGCGGAGGTCCGGGCAGAGTCGCCCAGGGAGACTCGGCGCGAGCACACCGCGCGGCTCCGTCGACCCCGCTGCGCCCGGCCGTTGAGTGTGAGGAAGCCAGGGCCTTACCCATGTGCTGCGTGTCCAGCTGCACGGCCGGCATCTCCTTCAGCGGAATGTGGCCAGTCCCGCTGTCCCTGCAGCACCGTAGGCAGCAAAACACCGACGCAGCCATTGCGCAAAGACCACCGCGCCGCAGCCCCTACGCCGCGGCGACACCGCCCCCCGCCGCTCCGCTCCGCCCCGCCCCGCCCCGCCTAGCCTCGGCCCCCGTTGTCCGAGCGCCCGCTGCGGCGAGTAGAGCTCGGAACAGTGACACCCCCGGCAGGGAGGCGCAGCGCAGGCTGAGGTTCGGTGCGGCCGGAAGTAGCGAGGGCCGGTGGGCGGGGCCTTGGTGGGCGGGGCGGGTGATGGGCGGGACTAGTGCCGTGACAGTGAAAGGGGCGTGGCGGACTGGCGTGCAATAGACACTGTGCGCCTGCGCATCGGGTCATTTTCTGCCGGGGCGGCCTCTAGCCGGTCCCCTCACGTTGACAGGTGAGTGATGCCCTTCTAGGATCTTCGGGGTTCTCCGATGCTGTGGGCGTTTTGTTTTGTTTTGAGACTGGTGTGTTGTGGGGGGTGCCTCGCTAAATTGGGCAGGCCGTGCTCCAGCTCCTGGGAAACAGCGCTTACGCTGTTTTCGCCTCAGCTCCTGGAATAGCTGGTACTACTGGCGCGCATCACCGCGACTGGCTGGATGCTGTGTTTTAAAAATTGCTTTTCTACTTCTTTATTTTTTGAGTAGACTGACAGAAGCAGATCGGCCTGTGTGTGTGTGGGGGGGGGGGGGCTGACAAAAATGCTCCCTGAGGTTTTCCTTCCTGGCCTAGAGCTGAAAGAGCCGAGCCTGCACTGAGGCTCCGCACGCCTCCTCGTGGCTGGATCTGAGGCTCCTACTGGCGCCACGAGAGCGTGGGTTGGTGGCTGCGCTACGTGCTTGCACCCGGGCTCTGCGTGGGCCCGGTAACATTTTCTTTGCGGACAGCGCTGTCCTGGTCCGCGGGAGCTGGTCCGGGGAGGGAATCTCTGGGTAGGGCGGCTCTGGATGGCCTCTTCCAAGCTCTCTCCGGTGCAGAGGGCTCCCGGGAAGCCAAAGGAACCCCGGAGGCAGTGGGAAAGCTGCCAGGTCCTCTCAGGTAAACCCTCGGTTCCTAGGGTCTGCTCCTGCAGGCCCCCGTAACCCTCACTTGGCATCTCCTAGACCGTCCTCCGGTGGCAGATTTTGCGTCCATAGCGCTTGGCGTCTGGATGGCCTCTAAAATTAACCTGACTCAGACCTCTGTTCCTAGATCATCGTTAAGGCTTCTTTGGAGTTCAAGTCCCGAGAAACCAGTTCTAACGTCCCACTTATTAAGTAATGGATTCGCATACGTAACTTTTTAGTCACCTGAGTACAAATATCCTTTGTGGAGGAATTTTTATCCATAGAATGAGGAAGAGTTTTCTGTCCAAATGATATTTTAACTACAGTTAGTTTTGTTAATAATCCAAATTTTGTGCTTTGAGGTTTAGTGACTGAAGAATTAATAGTCAGGATGACTATTAAACTGGTTGAGGGTCACCTCTACCCTGGATGCCTACGAAGTACTTTGTTGGTAATCATTTTACACATGAAATTTTCTTTCATTGAAAATTTTGACTTATTTTGGAAATTTAGCTAGTATTTGGGTTGTCCCCAACCCTCTCTCACCCTCCTAGTTATTCCGTACATCATAAAATGTTGAAGAGAAAATTTTTCTCCTGCCTATGAATTCTGTCTATGAATTCCAGTACATGAATTCTTGCAAGATTTAAAGGTTGATATTGTTCCCATTTTATAGATGATGAAAATATGCTTACAAAGATTAAATAAATTATACAACATTAAATAAGGATGAAATATATAAGGTAGGGCTCAAATTCATTCTGACTTTTTAAATTTTTATTTTTTGAGACAGAATTTCACTATGCAGTTCAGGTTGGCTTTGAACTCACAGTGATCCTTCTGCCTCAGCCTCCCAGAGCTAGGGTCACAGGTGTGCACCACCATGCCCAGCATCATTCTCTTAAGCCTGTATTTGCTCAGGTAGATAGTGTTGCCTCTCAAATTCTGAAGTTCTAACTTGTAATTAATGCAGTAATCTTCTGAAATTGTCTCTCATTTCAAAATGCAGATATGCACTTTTTTTAATGTTTCATTAATCTTCACATAGGATAAATTTACCAGGGTTAATTGTAATCACTTAACCTCTGAGTGTTCTGAATTAATTCTCAGCAATAAACAAATAAAACATAAGTTTCAAGACATAAGACAATAAATGAAACATAAGTTGTAAAATTTTTGTTCTGGGACATCAAAGTGGTACGTGAATTAGATGTGTAATAAACATTTAGGGCATTCAAGTCAGTCCCATCTTCAGTGACAGCCAGTTGATTGACTGTGAATTGGCTACTAATGAAGAAGACAGAAGTGCCCTAGTGTTTCCTGGATGGAAAAGTAATTTGCTGGGGCACTGCCCAGTGCGCTTTGCCTCCACTGTTGAAATTCAAGTGCACTCAGCAGAATGAAACAAGCAAAGTGGTTAGATATTGCAACGGACTTCCCTGTGCTGGAAAATGAATGCCATCCCTCAGCTTGCAGGCATTTTGCTTCTCCTATCTGGGATTCTATTACCCTCTTTATTACTTTCAAAAGAGTTACCCTTTCTTTCTTGAAAAGCACAGTGTTAAAGATACCTTGACAGTCTTTCACAGCTATTACTAAGTAACAACACAAGTAACAAAAAGTTTCTCAATAGTTAGTTAAAAGGTCATTTATCTAAGTCAAAAAAAGTAACAAAGAATGACTACTGGGGGGAAAAAGTCTGACTGCTTCAGTAACAAGTGCCAGGAACTGTAAAACTGATAAGACAATAATATAAAGCACATGTTTCAGAGCTGATTTGAACATCATGCTCAGCAGTTTCATAATTCTTTTTAATAGCAAGGAGACACTTATTAATAAATTTCACACTCTACTGCATCATTCAAAATGGTTTATTTCTTAAAAACTCATTGATCGCTTTCTAAGACGAATACTTTTTCTTGGAGTAATTCTAAACCATGTTTTTGCTCCTTGAAAAATCATAAACATTACAAACACCTGATACATCTGAAAACTGACATGTTCCTAGAAATTTCATCTATTCATTATTAGAATCGGTAACTGACTTTTATGTTGTGGTTATTATTTCCAGCACTGATTTAAGTGCTTTTTGAAATGAATTTAATCCTTGGAACAACACTGCAAAGGAAAAAATTGTCTTTCACCTTACAGATGAGGAAATTGAGGTAAAAAAAGATAAAACATATACCCATGGCCACATATAATGAGAAATAAAGCTTGAGTTCAAACTCAGGCAGTCTTGCTTTTTGGTCTGTGTTCTTAAATATTAATTATAAATACAAATGTATATAAATATATGCTTTGTAAATATATATATAATATTTAAAATATGTATATATTTTTGCTATACTGAATATTGAACCCAGGAATTGGGGCATGCTAGGCATGTGTGCTACCACTAAATAATATCCCCAGCCCCTAGGGTGCTACATTTAAGAATAAAGACCTAATTTTTATTTGTTTCCTTCTATTCTTTTACCTTAGATGTTGACATTTAAATTTACCAGGGTTAATTGTAATCACTTAACCCCTGAGTATTCTGAATTAATAAGTATATAAACTAGATATACTCAACAATAAAAAATAAATAAAAATAACTAGAATTTGTTTTGTGCTAGGTTGCTATTAGTTGGCTTGGAGTTCTGCACTGTTATTGGCACCTTTGAATGTTTTTCAGAAGTGTCTTTTGTGGTATTATCTGAGCAAAGGAAGAGATATTTAGTACTTTGTTAAACCATCAGTTTTTAGGCACAACACTTAAGGCTTGTGGCTTGCCTACAGTTCTAGCTACTTTCTCATTGGGGAGGCACAATATCCACCATCCAAAACTGACAAAAGGTTTATTTTGGCTCACAGTTTGTAGAGGTTTCAGCCCATAGTCAGCTAGCTGCAAGGCCATGTGGCACGGCAGAAGAAAATTGCTCATGGCAAGGTGGGCCGGAATCAGAGAGCAATTGAGGAGGGAGGGAGGGAGACAGACCTGATAGGCCATCACCGGGATGATCCAACCATCTCCTAAAAGCCCCACCTGTGAGCACTTGAGGCTTTAGGAGATATCTAGATATAGACCACAAAACCAACAAAAGGGTGATGAGAAGGGTTTTGTACAAAGTTTGTATGGCCCAAAATAAGACTATAACCTGGTATTTTGAGAGGAAGTTTGGAAAAACACTAAGCTATATTAAATAGCTCAAGTAAGTTTTCCAAATCATCTGAGACATTCAAGTGGTTCTGTATTTTTGGACTACAGTAGAACCAGGGGGTGAGAAGTCACCATATACAGATTATAAAATTTAAAAGCATTTGACATTTGCAGAAGAGATCGTCAGGGAAAAAAAAAACCTGATATATGTGTTATATTTTCAGGAAAACAAAATTTCATTTATGTTATTGAAGTTGTGAAAAAGATCTTAAAATGTTTCCAGTAACCAGGAAGGGCACATGAGTTATAAGTTAAAATGTATCCAACATTACTAATTTGAATTATGTATAAGGTCATTTAGTGTCACAATTTTATTTTGGGAAATATAAAAATTTTTTCAAAAGATTATACCTATAGTTCTAATTACTTGAAACCTATTTTCTCAATAGTTTTGTATATCAATAACCCAAATTCAGAGATTATCAGAAACTTCATGTTGAGAACAAACTATCATACTCTACCTATGTACATGTATCTATGGCTGCAACTATGGTACTGGATAGGGTTCGTGTGGTTCTGAGGAACTAGTAAGCCACTGTAATTTGCAGATTCTGTAACCTGAATTACAGGGACAGTGAGACTACCTAAAATTCTTGGTGAAAGTTTATAAAATTGTAAACTGGGGCTGGGAATGTAGCTCAGTATTAGAGAATGTTCTTAGAGTAGACACACTGTTTGATCACTTGCACTATAAAATCAAACCAAAACTCTAACGTACTTGAAAACTGCTTTAAAAATCCACTGTGAATTAATAGCAGTGAGAAGATGTTCCAGAGTATGTTCTGGCTGAGAGAACTTAATGAAGGAGAATGAACCTACAAAGAATTGAACAGGATTAAACTTTTTAAGTATTTTATCTTTTCCAGATGTTTAGCCAATACTTTAAGAATGATTTTGTATTTCTTTCCAAAAAGGGAAACTTCCTATTTGTATGTATGAAATCTAATATCTAATGCAGATATCAGTCTATATGACACATTTGCTATATTCTACAAAAATGATATGAAGCCTTGGAAAGAAAGAAAAAGTTAACATACTTGATTTTGCCTAATTTTTTAGAATAAAAAGTCCATTTTATATGTTCTGAATTCATTGGTGCCTGTTACATAGCAAGCACTTAATAAATATTCATTGCAGGATCAAATGAAT